CCATATAATGTGTCAGTCATTTTTTTTTTTTTTTAAATTTGACAATTTTTATTAATATTTTGTCATAATCCCGACATTAGTCAGGGGGGGAGGGGGGGGATACAGAAGAGAAGAAGGAAGGGGGGGGGGGAAAGCAGCAAGTATTATAATTGTCACATAGTATATTACATAGTATATTACATAGTCATACAGTACAAAACAGTTAGCCGAGACAGGGTGGGTATGGGTATTCAATATAAGCTTGTACTCTCTAAGGTCCGGGGGTCGACTCGACCCATATTCTAAACACAGCTCTACAGATTGCTCCCTTTGGGATTAATCCAGGCGATCCGATCTCCATGTGTCCCAGATCTCCCATGCCTTTGCGGAGGTATGGGATGGGGGCCACAATTTGGTGTATGCTCCTTCATATGCTCTTTGTTCTATCAGAGCGGCTAGTACTCTGGCGAAGGGCGGACATTGTTTAGATTTCCATGATCTTGCGATCTCTCTGTGAGCTGAGAGGAGAACGTGATATATAAGCTTCCTCTCGGCTCTGGGGGTTCCGCTCGGAAGAATTAGCGTTATATAGACTTGGGGCGTAAATTGCATATTAATGCCAATCAAGTCTTGCAGGAGCGTATGGACTTCCGTCCAGAACGGTTTAAGCTCTGGGCACTGCCACCAAATATGGAGGACATCTCCTCTTGCTAATCCACATCTCCAGCAGTTGGGAGAGCTATTTGGGTAGAATTTATTAATCCGAGTAGGTACCATGTACCATCTATAAACACCCTTGCGTTGTTGCTCCACTAGGGAAGTGGATGTGAGTAGCTGGTTTATGTCTTGGAATAAGATATTCCATTGTGTGGGGGAGATAGGCTCTCCCAGATCTGTATTCCATTGTTGTGCTACATTAGTATCAGGGAATGGAATAGAGTTAGCGATAAGTCGGTAACACATGGAGGTCGGTTTACATGCGAGTGGTAATGACCCGTTTATACAGACTTGTTCCCACACCGTGGGTTGTCCCATATCAGATTGCAATACCCTGTCAGCACTAGTTGACCTGTAGAGGAACGATCTCAGTTGTATGTATGAGAATTGTGAGGTTACAGGAAGTTTGTGTGTGTGTCTCAGTGTGGAGAAGTCTTTTAATGTCCCGTGTTGGAGAATATGATAGAGGTGTGTTAGTTTGTTGTCTATCCAAGGATTGGCATGAAAGGTCGGTATACAATACGGGAGGGCCGCCACTGGTGTAGCTGGTGAAAGTTTAGTTGGGGAGCAGAGTGTCGCCCTACTTTTGTCCCATATTTGTAGTTTGAGGGTGAGGAGGTCGGATGGATGTGGTAGGGTCGGGCGGTATACTTTTGGTATCCACAATATGTTAGGTAGTGTGAAGGGCTTCAGCAGGTTTCTCTCTATCTCCACCCATTGAGGGGGCTTTTTACCCATGTGGTGGGGAAGTAAGGTGGCTAGTATGGATGCATGGTAGTAGGCCTTCACATCTGGTAGTCCCAATCCACCTGACTTTTTAGGAGCTTGTAAAAGATTCCTGGCTACCCTCGGTCTAGACCCTGCCCAAATAAAGTTGTCTACCTCCTTTTGTACCAGTTTAAAAAAGGAGTGTGGGACGGGAATCGGGAGCGTTCTAAAAATATATTGCAGTTTAGGAAGTATCGACATCTTTACTGCCACTATTCTTTCAGTCCATGTTAGATAGAGAGGTGACCATTTTTTTAGTTGTAGGGCACATTCTCTCCACGTTTTAACATGGTTGCCCGTGTAGAGCTCTGTATGCTTTTTAGAGAACAATAGTCCTAGGTATGTAATGTCATATTTCCTCCAATCAAAGGGGTAGGACCCTCTGAGGGCTATCATTTCACTTTCAGGAACGCCTATGCTAAGTGCTTGAGTTTTAGAGGTGTTGAGAGAATAGTAGGATTGTGATCCATATTCGTGAATGAGGGACATGACATGGGGCAGAGACTCCATTGGTTGGGTCATATAGAGGAGGATGTCATCTGCGAAGGCACTTATCTTAACTTCTCTAGATCCGACCAGAATTCCAGTAATATTGGGGTGGGATCTAATTGCGACCAGAAGTGGTTCCAGGGCTAAAACATATAACAATGGGGACAGAGGGCATCCCTGTCTGGTCCCATTAGATAATTCGAAAGGGTCCGATAGGAACCCGGCTTGCAGAACTCTAGCTTTCGGAGCCGAGTATAGTGCGAAAATTTGTGTGATGGTCTGATGGGGGAAACCGTATTTCTCTAGAACTTGTCTCAAGAAGGCCCAGCCAAGGCGGTCAAATGCCTTCTCCGCGTCCAAGGCTAAAAGCAGACCCCCTCGGCCAGGCCTCCGGAGCTGCTCCAGGGTGTGCATCAGTTTGTATGTATTGTCCGAGCCCTGTCTCCCTCTGACGAACCCTGTTTGATCGTCACAAATCAATTCTGGCAGAAGTCCGCTCAGCCTATTTGCTATAATTTTAGCGTAGAGTTTGGCATCTGTATTGAGGAGGGAGATTGGGCGAAAGTTTTTACATTCATTTGCAGGTTTGCCAGGTTTTGGAATGGTGATAATTGTGGCCATAAGCATCTCCGGAGGGAGGGAGCCCGTTGCGGAGGCTTGTTGGTACACCCGCAACAGGTGGGGCGCTAGTGTGTCTGCAAATTTCTTATAGTAGGCATTAGTGAAACCATCAGCTCCCGGGGATTTAGCTAGAGGCAGAGATTTGATAGCTGCGCTAACTTCTGCCAAGGTTATGGGTTGTTGGAGCGTTATGGCTTGTTCTAGTGTGACTCGTGGCAAGTGTATCTGGCTAAGATATTTGGAAATGCTGTCTTCCGTTGGGTTGTTTATACCTGTCGTGAGGTGCAGGTTATATAGTTTGGCATAAAATCTTGCAAAGGCTTGCGATATGTCGCTGGGATTTAGTATTTTCTGACCCCTATCATTTATAAGATGTGCAATCTTTTGTGTGTTGCATTTGTCTCGTAATCTTGCTGCTAACAATTTAGTGGCTTTTCCGCTATGGTGGTAGGCGGTAGCTTTTAATTTATGGAGCAGCCTCCTAGTTTTGTCTGCCGTCAAGTCTCTTAGTTTGTCATACTGCAGGGAGAGTTGTATCCCTGTTTCTACTGAGGGCTGGGTCTTATTTAAAGCAGAAAGTTGCGCTATTTTAGTGTGGCATTCCAACATTGCCGAGTCTTGGGTCCTTTTAATGTGCGAAGCTTGTTTAAGAAACAGGCCTCTAAGTACTGCCTTATGCGCGGACCAGACCGTGGCTGCCGTGGTCTCTTGAACATTGTTTAGGTTAAAGTAGGTTATAAGCTCCTCTTTAATGTTAGCGGTAAATTTCTCATCGTTTAATAGGGAGTCATTCAACCTCCAAGTGCCTTTCCCCGTGAATTGGAATTCATCCTTCAGTACCAGGGTGACCGGGCTGTGGTCTGACCACGTAATCTCCCCAATTCTGCAATCTGCTACCAGGGGCAAGGTAACTCTATCAACAAAAAACCCATCAATTCGAGAGTACGAATTATGTACCCTTGAATAAAAAGTATAATCTCTTGTTTCAGGGCTAAGAGTTCTCCATACATCATAGAGGTCATGTAATGAGAGTGTTTTGTTGATGATTTTGTGGGACTTATCGTGCGACAATCTAGTTTTGGTGCCTCCCTGGGTTGTTCTATCCAGGGGTGATTGAGTGAAGTTAAAGTCGCCGCATAGTAATAAATTGCCTAGGCGATATTGGTCTATTTTCGTTAGCAGGGACTTTAGGTATTGATTGGAGTTCTCATTGGGGAAGTAGGCCGTGACCAGTGTGTAGTGGATTGCGTTAATGAGACACTGTAGGATTATGAATCTACCTTGGGGATCTATGTATTGCCTCTGGCTGGTGAATGCGATATCTTTGTGTATTAGGATAGATACACCCTTTGTTTTGTTTACTGAGAGTGCATGGTATTGTAACGGGAAGTGTTTAGTAAAGATCTTTGGTGTATAGCCTTTCTTAAAGTGGGTCTCTTGAATACATGCAATGTCAGTCTTAGCTTTTATCAATTCTTTATACAGTAAACATCTTTTCCCAGGGGTATTCAACCCCTTCACATTATACGTTACTACTCTTATGATAATCAGGGATCAGTTTTGCATATGACATCTGGTGCGTGGAGGTGAGCCGGTGTTAGCATAACAACAGCATCTTTTCCTATGTTGCAGCAATAACCATTTAGCAAATATTTCTCAAACCTAGCTACACGATCAGACCTGTCAAGTCGTACTGTACTGCTTATACGGGCTTTTGCGTCTGGTATGATATTACAGGCTGCTAAAGAAAACCTGGATAGGTCAGGGAAAGAGGGAACTAGGGAGAGAATAAACTGGGAGTGGGGAAGGGGGAATAAACCCTGAGTAAGCTCTACACAAGAGAGCTGGAGCACGCCAAGCTGATCTTGGCTGCAATGTAGGGGGTACATTAAGTGAGCCTGATGTTGTCGTGGCTCATATGTGGCTCTTAGGGCTTGGAATGGCTTAAAGAGATAGTATGCTGAGGCTTTCTCGTGCCGCAGGCATTTTTTTTTTTTTTTTAACTTGTAATACACTAAAAGTAAGAACATAGCCTTTAGTAACATTTGGTCATCAACAGTTCATAGGTCTTAGTGACTGCGCTGTGTGCCGCAGTAAGTGTTAGGCATACTTAACACTCTCTCCGCAGGAGAAGAGGCAGGTCTCGCAGAGTGGTCTTGTTCAGGCCGGGGTCCACTCAGGGGTCATCCGAGGTATCTTTGCCTTGTTATGGTCGTCTGTAGAGGCAACCGGGAGGCCCCACATCTTAAATTTTTCTTTGCCAGCCGGCAGCGAACTTACAGCGTGCAGTGAGTCCTGGTACTGGATGAGCAATTTTGCTGGGTATCCCCATCGGTACATAATTCCTTTCTCCCGTAGCGTTGTTGTGAGGGGAGTCAGGTTTTTCCGAAATTGGAGGGTTGCCGCCGACAGGTCCGTGTAGATTTTTAAGTCCTTGTAGGGATCTGGCATGCCTGGTGTGCGGGATGCTCGAACTAGCCTCTCCTTGGCATGATAAAAGTGTACACGGACTATCACGTCCCTCGCGGTGGAGTTAGGGAGGTGTTTCGGTCTTCTCAACCTATGTGCTCGGTCGATGATAAGCTGATCCGGGTGCGTCTCCGGTGACAGTGCTTGGAAGAGGTCTAACAGGTAGTCGGGAAGTGCAGGGTTGAGCACTGACTCTGGTATACCGCGGATACGCAAGTTATTGCGTCTTGATCTGTCCTCCATGTCGGCCATTTTGACCGCATGGTCGTGCAGGACGGTGTCCAATTCATGCAGCTTGTCCGCGAGACCGTTATGCGCTTCAGCGAAATCATCCATCCTCTTCTCTATCTGAGCAGTACGTTGGCTCACCTCTATAATCTCCTTCCTGAGATCTGCGGTGAGGGTTTGTATCTGCGTCGCCATGTTCTTCTGAATGGTGTCAGTAAGTTCCGACAGCATTTTTTTCAATTGCTGAGTTGTAGGCGGGCTGTCCTCCGGTCCTGTATCTGAGGACATTGGGGATAAAGGTGGATCCTCCTCGGAGCGAGCGGCACCGCCATCTGCATCTGGGCTGCGGCCTTCGCGTGCGTGTGGTGTCGCCGATTTGGCCAAGAAAAAGGAGGCGCGATCTGCCTTTGCAGCTTTATTTTTTTGCCTGTGTGACATCTCTGCAGGCTCGGGAGTGGTAGCTTAAGACTGGAATCTTGTGTGTTCTTTTTGCAGCCCGATTATTTTAGCCCTAGTTCGCCCGGTAGCAGGAGCTCCGTTAGGATGCGTCCATGCAGCTCGGTGTCAGGCCACGCCCCCCGTCAAAGTCATTTTTAAAGTCATTTTTCAAATCAACTCTCAAATCTTTAATAAGTTGAATTATCATGCCAGCTGACGGTGGCAGGTCTGCTGCCAATTCAAGTGGCATATTAGGATTATAGGTCGCAGCTTTAAATGTAGTAGTAGCCATATTGGAGGTGGCAGCGGCCATCTTGGAAGTGGAATATACAGTATCTGGACTGTCAGCCATCTTTGTTGTGGCATCATAACGTGTTCTCTGTGGTAGTGCAGAGAAAGCACTTTTTTGGAGCACTTCAGCCCCTATTTCCATTGAATTATCATCTGGGCTTACTGTAGCCCTTGCTGCCCCTTTAAATACTTTGGGTCGGACAGCAGAGTCCCCCCCCGCCGGGACCGACAGCCTGTAGGCTGAGGAGCCCGACGGGGAGCGTGACCTCGCACTGCCCTCCCCTTTACTAGCAACCCGGTCGCTTTTGTAAGTGAGCGACCGGGCTGCTCTGGAGTGGGACCGCGAGCGGCTTGGTGGGGGGTCCTTGCCGCTCGCGGGAAACACAGCACTGTGCTCCGAGCATGCCGAGTGCTCGGAGCACTCTGAGCCGCACACAGGAGTGCCGGCTAGTGCGGTCGCGGTCCCGCCGCCCTCAGGAAGCTGCGGACGGGTCGCGGCCGCACAAGCATAAGTTTTGGGGAGGGAGACCGAGCGGGAGACCGGGAGGGAGGTAGGGAGGGATTTCCCCGACGCCACCAACGATAGTTTAAGCGGCGAAACAAGCCGCGAGGTGGATTTGGAAGCAGGGGAGCGAGCCTGGGAACCCTTACTCACCCCAGCCGCTCCTGCTTCCATTTTCTTCGTCCCAGGAATGGATTTTTCTGTTTTCTTTTGCTTCTGCATGGTCACTGCTAAGTTGACTTTTTGTATTTTCAATTAAAATTGGTACATTCAGATTAGAATTGTCGCTTTAGGAACAAAATTGTCCCCCTTGTCCAGGAGCCTCTCTATAACGTGGCCATCTAAGATGGTGGCCAAGACACGCACCCCTTTTTCAGGTTTTCTTACCGTTAATGGTATTACATTTAAGTAATCAGTTTATTATACTCCAGAATCATGTTTGAAATCAATGTTTTCAAAATATCTGCCTGTGACGAGACCAATCTCGCCACATTGCATTGGAGAAGCCTGGTTGCTCGCCTGCTGCCTTTGGACTGTGGCCCCCATGTTAAAAGACTTTGTTTCGCCTGCAGAAAAGCTGTATTCGTGCTTTTCTGCCGGTTGTTCGGTAGATTCAATCTACCGAACAACCGCACGAATGTATAGACCACCTGGGAGCTGGAGTGTGCCGGCAATTAACCTCCCTGAAGCTGCGGTTAACCGCAGCTTAATTGACAATTACTGGGTGGTCACGGTTACACCTAGCCGCCACACAATGGGGGTGATATGGAAGCTCTCCGGGTAGCCAGCGCTTGTTCTACCCAGCGGCAGGACACCAAAAGCGGACACTTTTGTCTTACAAGCCCCGCTGAGGCTGGAAGTCTGCAAACCTGTTCGGGAACCGAACAACGGAGCATTCGGGACTTTTAGTGCTGCAATTGTTTTCGGTGTGCAAGTACCCAGATAGCCTGCCATGGAGCCTGTTCGTGGAATTAAAGACTTTGGCTCCATGGCGATTAAACTGTATTTGTGTGGTCTGAGCGCCATTCGCTTAATAATGTGCGCTCAGACCTGAGCTATCTGGGGATATGTTAAATGTATAGTTTTAATAGCCCCTTTCTCCCTTTCCCATTCCCTCTATGTATCTGTGTTCCCCCCCCCAACCCCTGTCTGTCTTTTTTGCCCCTTCCCCAGCTCCTCTTTGTCACATTGTTTTCCTCCCAGCCCCTGTGTCTCTCTTCTGCCCCTTCCCAGCCCCTGTGTCTCTCTTCTGCCCCTTCCCCAGCCCCTGTGTCTCTCTTCTGCCCCTTCCCCAGCCCCTGTGTCTCTCTTCTGCCCCTTCC